AGACAACCCCGTAACAATATGCGTTTTGTACTGCTGTTACACAGCACAAAACGCATAACAAGGGATTAAATAAAGAGAAAAAAGCTCTACATCTCATTCTCTTCTATTTCACTTCTCACCACTCAAAATCTTTCTGGTTTGCTATTACCCACCAATTTCATCCTCATGTCACACAATGCGAACAGGTGGTTGTACCGATGACTACCACTTTCACCCGCACGTGCTTCTCGGTCTGTGTTTACAGCTAAGGAATGAAACATACACTGGGCTTCGGTCTTTTCAACATCAAATGCATGGGCCATCTTCTCGGTGTATTCTTGGGTAAAACAATAAAGTTTTCAATACACGCTTGTGGTTTGCTTCGAACAGGTGACTGGCAAAGCCTAGGGCTCACAACTAGCAAGAACTGCAGGAACATTTAGCACTACCAATGCTTTATAACGAACCAATTCGGTGGCAATAAATCGAACGATAAACGGTGAATCCATTTGTCGTAGCAGTTCGATTTCCCGTGTAAGCTGACCACCGCCCGATGAGTTACACGTTTTTACCGCAACAAATTCGCCTGTCTTTAAATTTCTTCCCTTGTGAACCTGCAAAACAGGTAGATGAATTAAATCACACTGCATGAAGGCTTCCTGTACCGAAAACAACAGTGGAAAGATCGCAGATCAAGAAAACACGGGCAGGCTGAGTTTATCTTGTCCCCCTTTTAACGAGGTCGAGTAAGACAGTGCAGAAGACAGAGGGACGCTCTCTCAGCCGCTAGGCAATCGAATTTCTAAGGCATCAACATCAAAAACAACACTGCAGCTGTTGCGAATATGCGGTAAAAAAATGTGAGAATCAAAGATATTCAACACCATTTATATTTGCTCTGTAGGGAAGACGTAGGCACTCCGAAAGTAGTCTCAGTGGTAATAAATTGCAATAAAAATAAACTTTCGCTGAGAAAGCTACTGTTGATGCCTTCTCTTTTCGGGAAGGCTATTATCGTCGCACTGACGAGATTCAATTGCGGTAATGGTAAGAAATGTATACGATTTAATGGACCGGAAAATTTGTTGCCATTATAATAATCTCAAAATTTTTTTTAATTTCCATTTTTTACCTTTTTTTCTTTTTTTCCTCTTTACTTCATTCCTTCGTATTATAACTTTCTGTGGAATATAAGCAGGTTTGATAGCCGGGTTTCGCTCTCTAGCATATGCCAGTACCAATTTACTATGGAAATGAACGAACTGGTTATCCCACCGAATCAGTCGAACACTCCACTTACTGCACAACAAAAATGTGCTATCTTCTACCAAGTTATTTAAAAAGAAATCTAAAAAAACTAATTTTTATTAAAAATGAGTACTTACGCGACCGAATGCGCCATGTCCGAGCAGATCGGTGCCTCGCTGAAGCCAGACATAATTCTCGGTATATGTGATGCCACATCCCGAATTCACATCCATGCAGTGGTGTGCCTGAAAAAAAAAGGCCCGATATCTGCACATCTACTAAAAATCTCGGCTCGGCTTGGTCAAGCAAAAATCAAGCGTTTTTTGGGAAAAATGCACCTGTTTTTTTTGGGTTTAATGGGATCGAAAAACATATGAAATTTTCAAATTTTTTTGTTTCTATTATATTTTGGGATAGGAAAACGGAAGCATGAAATACTGTACAAATCGCACACAACTCCCCCAAGTCAGAATCTCATTAAGCCCGAAAGCTGGAAAACTTGCGTATGAAGATACCAGTGCTTGAAGACAACAAAAAACTCTGAGTGCATCGATTCCCCCTTATTTCGAAATGATTCCGAAACATTCTAAATTTAATGGTTCTTTCGCTGTTGCATGATCATCGTTCGTGCTTCACTGGCTGCAGCATTGCTTTGTGGGCCGCAGCACCGCTACAGTTTTTCATCAGTTAAGCAATCGCATTTCAAACTGTTTTATGAGTTTATGATGCTAAGCAAGAAATTTGATGCTGGATGGAAGCAAGAAATTTGTTGCTAACAGCTTAACAGATTAGCATCACCCTCCTTGCTGAACATCACAAACCCTAATCCCCTGTGTTCTAAACTAGCACCCCGACCCTCTCACCACCTCCAACCCGACCCCATCCAATGCAATGCCGCCTAGAACTCGAAGGAGTATACCGCCAAAATCGCAATTCGAATCCCAAACCGGTCAAGCGTGGCCGAATTTTAGCAGTTAGCCAATATTCAACGGTTCAATAACACTTCCAGAAAGCGCCCTGTTATTAATGGTGTTGCGTCACAATCAAAGGCGAGCCCCGGGGAGGGCCCTTCACCCCTCCCCCTCCCCCCTCTCGCTTTCGCCCCTCCCTCTCTCTTTCAGCGGCAGAGGTTCCAGTGCTGCAGAAGCCCGGGTTTGTTCATAAAAAAGAAAAAAAAAAAAACTAAAGTAACTTTCTGTGTTACAACTCTATTCCTAGTTTTTGCACAGTCCCAGAAATCCGTCCTGGATCCGCCTATGCGCACAGGATTGACAGCGGCGCGTTCTGTAAACATGCGCTTCTCGGTACAAGCTGTTGCAGAAGTCCAAGAAATCAGGATCAGGAGACAAGGCGTCGATCTAAATACCATATATAACGAAGCAAAAATTGCAGATATGCGGTCTATGTTTCATCCCATAGCTGTAAACACTGAACATGGTATGGAGGTAGGAGCAGGAATCATCACTACAGCCTTCTATCTGTCAATGTTCAGAAAGTGGATGTTACGAAATGATTTCAGATTTGGACCCAAGCTGGACATTGGTCAGTTAAATATCAGTGGAGTTATAAGTAGCGAGGGAGCTGTAAAATTAATTTAGCTATAAAGGAAAGAGGTTATAGTGGAAGCGATTCTGTTGCTGGTCTTTTCACACCACAGTGACCATCGTTACATAACATGTGAACTGCACAAGTTCTAGTTTAAGGACTGGTGCAGTGCATGATTAAATAACTTGTCGGGGCAAAAAAAAAAAATAATTAGCCAACGCATGGGCTGCCCGTGCGAAGATGCGTTTTTTGCATAGTTCCCCGCAGTTT